ATAAAACAATTAATTAAAACAAAAAATAAATAAATAGAAGAGAAGAAGGGGTTGGGCCTGAATTTGGAGTGCTAATAGCAATTTTGAGGCCCAATTGTGTTGGCCCTTTGTTGACTTTTCCTGATTTAGTGTGCATGTGTTGACTTGGCTCCATGTAGACCTTCAGCGCTTGACCATCAGATTTGGCCTTTGGCCATCTGGCCATTGGATATGTGAAGGTGTATGGTGAACTGCATGTCCACACGCGCATTGGAATACCTGAAGAGAAAAAACATTGGGAAATTGGGGGACCTGGGACTCGAACCCAGGTCCTGAAAGTGATTGCTTGCTTGCCTTGCCACTACGCTGCCTTGATTCATTTGTAAGTATAACACAAAGAAAATATAATATAATGAAAACAAATTATATGCCAGCAAAGCAAAAAAGGCGTGCTTGGTTTTAAATGGGCCAATGGGTAAGGGACACCTTATCGTCCCTGTCCTGAAACCTGCAAAAACATTACCTGCGGATTTGAATCCGCAGCAAAAAACGCAGGCTTGTGCTAAAAATCTCTCCAGGCTAAATAAATCCATTCCAAGAACATGGTTGGATTCATTATGGCCTCCTGATTACAGCCATGTTCTTCTTGAGTCCCAATTTTGCCTGAAACAGAAAACCCCAAAAATGCTTCCAAGAACCCTAGCTATGGCGTTTTACATTACAGGTTAGATAAACAAAATTGAATGATGCAAATGGCTTGAAAATGTTATGAGGATTACAAATATGCAATTACTTTGGTCAAATGATGCCAGAATGATGAATTACGATTTCAAGAACAGGGGTGTTTATCGTGACACTTACAGCGCGCTGTGGGGTCTGAACAAGCTTTCTTTTGATCCAGGTAGATTGAGTGAACACCCAGGAAGCGATGAAAATGCCTCTAGCTATGAATTCGATTCCAAGCTTTTTAGTGAATTTTTCAACTTTTGTCTTGCCTCTACATGCAGCTTCCAACCCTTGTTTCGATTGCTTTGGCTTGCTTATGTAGTGTGTAGTGTATTAGGGTAAGAATTATGAATCAAATCCTCTCATATCAATGCATACATATTTGATTTGATCTCCTCTTTAAAACCTTCCAAATTTGCCAAATTTCAATCTTTTTGCCCATGATTTGGTGTGATTCGAATTTGATGATGTTAAAGATTGCAATCAAAGCCTAAAATATCCAAAAAATCTTGTGTTATCAAAGCATTGGATTTTATATGATTTTATTTGATTAAAAATGAATAAATTCAATAAAAAATCAAATTAAATAATAAAAATAAAAAATGGGCTCATGGTTGAAGCTAGGGCACGTGTGCAATGATGCAAGCTCAAATCAAGTGGAAAAGAATGAGCCCATTTGACAAAATTTGAAGTTTTGGGGATAGTTGACTTTTGGCAATTTTGCAAAAATATCCAACTTCAGCAATGCATAACTTCTTCAACTTTGAACTTTTGGATGTGTTCTTGGACTTTTTAGAAAGCTTGAGATGTCCTCTAACCAACCCTTTTGGTCTCATATCATTTTTATATTCCATGCTCAAGTTATAAGCTTTGGCAAAAAAGGTGTTTTTGTTGACTTTCAAAAATGATCTATAATGTTCAAATTCATAACTTCTTGTGAGTGCATTTTTTGAACTTGGGGTATGAAGATGGATTATAGGAAATTGCATCCTATTCAAAATTAGATTTGTATGGATCATTTCTCATAAAGCATGAGAAAGTTATGCTTGGTCAAAGTTGAGTTGACTTTTCCTACAAAGCCCTAATTTAGCAACTTTTGAGTCTTGATGAATTTTGAGTAATCCTTGATGAATCATGATCAACCCTTGATCAAATGATGAAATATACTTCAAAATGAGAATGTTGACAAAAAATCTTGAAGTTTGACTGTTTATAGGTCACAGTTGACTTTTGCCCAAGCACAGTCGATTTTTGGACCTTTGAGCAATTGACTGAGCAAACTTCATCTGCAAGGCTTGAAACTTGACATGGATGACCTTGAGAACATATTAGGACATTGGGGATCACTTGAGGTCATTTGAATTCAAATATCTTGATGCAACACAAAACCCTAATTTGGGGTTGATTGCCTTAGGAGATAACTTGTATGTCCAACTCTTGAGCAAACTTGAGCAACTTGGAGATTTTTCTTTGCAATGTTTTGAGGAATATGAGAGGGCAAATTTTGGGGTACAACATAACCAAACACAAGTTAAGTCACTTAAATGGTTCAACAATTGTGAACTTAAGACCCTAAACATGTCATGAGGATTGGGTAGATAAATGAGAATCAAATTTCTAAAGGTAGCATAAATATATTACATCTACCTCATAAAGTAAGCAAAAGAAACACAAAATGAATCACATTCAAAGAGAAAGATCAGAGTGATCAATTGAAGTCAAATGAACTAGGATTATAAAATTTCCCTATAACTACAAATTGTTACTAAATCATTTTCAATTTTTTTACAAATTTTTTAAACATATCAATTTCATTCATAAAAATATCATTCTTTATGATGGTGTATAAATCTACCCCAATAGACTGACTAAACCATGTCTTATTTAAAATAAAACCAGAAATAAGATTCTTCTTAATCTCAGGAACATGCATGGTGTCCTTCAAGATTAAAGTCTTTTCAGAGGTGAAATTCAACTTCATGTCTCTAATTCCAACAACATTAGTGGTGTGGATATCTCCCAATAACACTTTCTTATCTTTAGTATTCGTGTATATTTTAAATATAATATGATCATAACAGACACAATGAGAGACGCTAGTGTCTATCCACCAACCACCAGATCCATCAACCATATTGATTTCAATGATCGTAGCAATAAATTGGTCATTAGTCAGATTAACCTATGCATTAGGGGAATCACCATGTTCAAGTCTGCTTCTATATCTCTTAGCCATATGACTTGATTTTACACAGTTAAAACAAAGGAAAACCAACATCATATCTTTGAGGTGGTAGTTGTTGCCTAGTTAGATCAATTGGGGCCATAAAAGAGTTCTCATTCTTAATTCGGTTCACAACATTGCAGTTATGATTCTTTACTGGTTTGCCTTATGGCTTCAGAACTGCACCAATTTTTTTTTTTGTTAAAACAACCAATACTTTTTCTCTTTGATCTTGTCTTCAAGACTCTTCTTCAATTCGAAGGCGAATAATCAAAGTTATAATTAAAAATATTTTGTATTATAGCAAAGCAACATTTTGAAATTTTTTTAACTATGGACAGATTGTCAATAATAAAAATAATTTTAAATTGTTCATCTAAATACAAACATTCAATGTTCATCTCATAAACAATCTTTTGAAGTTTGTAAGTTGAGTCTCCACAGACCTTTCATCTAGATCATAACTTCAGGTAACACCTTATGACATACTTCTTTGTTACAGCTTCTTAAATATCATATTTCTTTTGCAGAGCTTCTCATACCTATTTAGCAGTCTTGCAGTTAGAGTAATAATCTGTGAATCCATTTAGAATGTAATAATCATTCTTTTTATAAGACAATTTCTTTCCTTAGTTGTATATCATTCGTTTTAATATATGTAGTAAATTCATATTCATCGAAATTAACTGTCTCATCCGTGTTCACAAATTTCTTTCTATTAGTTTGTTCGATTGATCCAAAAGGAACAATAGGAATGTCATCGGTCAGAATATTGGCAACTATGGTTAAGAAAACTCTCGTCATTTTTTTTGTTGCCAATATTTAAAATGCATTCCCTAAAACTTGAACGGTTTGTCCCAGACAATCGTGGAAACACCAATAATTTCTTTGGTAGTCATGACAATTTGAAACGTCCTAAAATTGTTGTTTCATGGTTTTAAAAATTCAGCCACAGAAAAATTATCGGGTCGAATCACAGACTAGGTCACTCTCTTTAAGACATTTTACGGCACTGTCTACTTGCGCTGTAGATAATCGATCTAAAAGTACACTCTCTGATGGTATAAAGACCAATCATAATAATTTCTCCAACAAAGAGAAACTCTAAAAAAAAAGAGGGAAAAATTTTAGAAAGAAAGAGAGAGAAGTTAGTGCTTCATGAAAATGAGAAAGAAAAAAATCAATAAAATTTTTTAGTGTGTTTTAGAATGAAAAAAATGATTTCCTTATATCATGAAATAAACTAACCAAGATTTATAATCTAAACTGAAACTAAGGAATTTTGTGGGACTTGATTTAAGAAATTTTTTCAATTCATCTCTCTTTTTATTGAAATATTGACATAATGTTCTGACAATAACTTCGTTTGGTACACCCGTGCCTTTCCTGATCTTTAAATTCATGGACAAAACCTGTCTTTCAGTTACTATCATGTAGTGTCTGTTGACAAAACTAAAGGACAGGTAGAAATTGAGAAGAACAACTTTGTGATTTTAAAGTAAAGTTTGGGTACGTGGTAGAAAAATTAATTGAATTTGGGAAGAACAACTTTGTGATTTTAAAGGAAAGTTTGGGCGCATTGTTGAAAAATTAATTGACTGTACTACCTGTAACACCAACCTTTAATAATTCATATACAACTTGCTGCGAGTAACAAATTTACTGCATTTCACTTAAAATCAAATCTGAAATACATATTGGACTGAAGTTAAAAATTCAAAAACTGAATTGAGATCCTCTACTGTTGTGCCATGTCACATTCGGTAAAAACTCAGTTTAAATTTTACATCTGAGAGTTGATGCTCTCAGCTTGAGTTAAGTCTATCTTTCTTTTGTTGTCATTGTTGCTGCTTTCATTTATGTGGAAGAGGGTCGATCCACCGACGAATTTGACAACACTCATGGTTCAAATTCTGATGCACACAAATATTTGAAAATTAGATTACTATTATCAACAAATTTACATGGAAAAGAACCCCAAGTTAGCTTGATATATTCATCAAACATTTAAAAAAAAAAAGAAGCTAAATTAATAATAAAAGAACATGAATCTAATTACATTCAAAACTCCTCAATAAGGATGAACATTCCTACTCAATCCCAATCCATTAGTACTCGAAAAGAACCCAAACAACTCTTGCCTATACGGCAAGTAAGACTTCCGTTTATCACTTTCCTTCCTAGCTTTACTCATCATATAATGTTTCTCATGCGCCGACGGCGCCGGTTTCCCCTTAGCCACTTTCACCTTCCTTACCACGACGTTTTTCTCGCCGGAACTCGCTTTCTCCACCTTCGCCGGATTCAAAAACACAAAAGCATCTTTACCGTCACTGTTACTTCTCAGCTTCGGATCGCGTAACTTCCATAGCTTCGATGATCCCGTCGAGTTGCTCTTCTTCGCTACTTTCGGATTCCACTCGCAGTACGTCCCTTCTTCCACCGCCGCAGAAGTCGACGACGATGTTGCTTTCCCGGAGGAAGATGGCGATTCAAGGAAAATCTTCCTCACCGGCGAACGGTTTCCAGATTCACTATCGTAATCGTCGGTGAAATGAAGATCCTGACCGAATATAGGAAAAATAGGACGAATCTGACCTTTATCAAACACATCATCAGCGGAAATCGGCGAGCCGTTAGGATCTGCGAAAACGAAAGTAAACTCTTCATCATCATCCTCTTCGTTTACCTCATATTTTTCTTGCTTAACTTCGTCTTCGATTTTCAGTTTCGCGAAGAAATCGTTTTCGAACTTTCCAGAAACCTCACTAAGAGATGAACCTGAAACGGTTTGCATTGTGATTTTTTTTTTCTGTAACTGAAATGAAATTGTTATGATTTTTTTTTGTTAGGTTGTTGAGAAGTGGTTGGTGTTGAAGATTGGTGAGGAGTTAAATAGAGAAGGTTATTTGGTATTTATATATGGGAGTTGAAGAGGCTATTCAAACATGAGTTACTTTTGAAAGAAAGAAAAAGTTATAGTGAAAAAAAGGGATTTTCCTTTTTCTGAATGGCATTCACACGTTTTGTGTGTTCAAACTGTTAACGCGGAGAAGCTTCACCGCACCTTCGAGAATGAAGTTCCTTAGTAATAACGGCTTGAAGTCAATTTTTTTATTTTAAGGAAAATGGTTTTTTCGTGTAGGACAAGAGATATAAAAAGAGAGAATATTATGAGAAAATTGAAATTATTTAAGAATTGTATCTAGAAGGATGAGATTATTCAGGATATATAAATGTGATTTACTAGTTGGTGTGTGAATTTAAAAAAGCATGGGCAGAGCTTGCGTCACGGGTTATTAATGGAAAAGGTAGTGGCTGGTATCATTGATGACGGGTAAATAAGCGAAGTTCAGATATTTTACAAAATTGAAGATGTATTTCATTTTCAAAAAGGTATCAAATACATTAACAAATAATTGGTGTTAGACTTGTTACTGAGAATCACAGTTTGATTTTCTACAAATACATTATATTAGATTTGAAAGAAAACAAAAATAAAAAGTATCGTACTGATATTTAGGGGATACCTGTGTATTTTAAAATATTAATATTTTATTTTATTAAAAATATTAATAAAAGCTCAAGAATCGAGGATTTCTTGACCGATCACTATCACAATCAAAGGTAAATTTATCTTGTTCTGGTCAGATGAAGATTTAGCAGAAAGTTGTAGAAACCCGATGATTTACATGTGATAATTCCTTTTGTAGCAAAGGAGTTTCAAATGATACTACAACGGAATTAACCATATTAGAAAGTTTTGGAACAAATCTATTTATGCTTCTCTCAAAAGACTTTCTTGTGTTAGAAGTTCTCTTCAACAACTCTTTCATGGATCTCTATAAAAGGAGCTGAAGATTTGGAGAAACACAAAAAATAATGTGCCTTGACAAGAAAATAGAAGTTACTCTATCAAAACGAATAACACAAGTTAACTTAGAACTTCTTACCAATTATACTTTCTTAGAAGTTCTTAAGTCTTGGAGTTTTCTGTGTTGTATTTTGTTTACACCTCAGATTGTATATCAAGTATAATTACCAAACTATCATTATCATTTATCTGCTAGATAGATTGTAGGAAGTCTATTGTTTGAGTGCTTGAGCAATTAGAAGTCTCTTACTTGTGTGCTTGAACATTAAAGTTCTTTACTTGTGTGTTTGGACATTGGAAGGCTCTTATCTGTATGCTTGAGCAACTTGTAATCAGATTTAGTTATAGTGAAAATCTCTTGGAAGTGCAAGGGGAATGGACTACTCCTGATTTGTAGGAGGAACTAAGATAATTGCATGTGTGTTTTCTTGCTTTCTTCTTTATTTCTGATCAACATTTTTCTGTTGTCATCGCCATATGACTCTGTCAAAACAAAGATCACAAGTTAACTTAGAACTTCTTATCGATTATACATTTTCAAAAGTTCTTAAGTCTTAGAGTTTTTGTGTTGTATTTTGTTTACACCTCTAATTGTATATCAAGTGTAATTATCAAACTATCATTATCATTTATCAGCTGGATAAATTGTTGAAACTTTCTTGCTTGTGTGCTTGAGCAATTAAAAGTCTCTTGTTTGTGTGCTTGAGTGTTGAAGTCCCTTACTTGTGCGTTTGGGTATTGGAAGTCTCTTGCATGTATGCTTGAGCAAGTTATAATCAGATTCAGTTATAGTGGAAATCTCTTGGAAGTGCAAGGAGACTTGACTACTCCTGATTTGTAGGAGGTACCAGGATAACTGCTTGCGTGTTTTCTTACTCTTTTATTTACTTATGATCAACACTTTTACGCTATTATCATCATATGACTATGACTCAGATCATGTCCTTGTGTTCAGAATCTGATAATAGATTTAAAGAGAAAAAGGGGGAAAAGTTAACACAGTTCAACCCCCCTTCTTGTATTATTCTCACCTTCAGTTGTCATCAGAGCAGGGTCTGTGCATCAACACTTAACAGTGATACCTAAAAGATCATGGGGAGAAAAGAAACATGGTTGAATATGAATTTATTAAGAATGCTTATCAAAGTACATCTTATAAGAACAATTATATTTCTAAACCTCCAACATTGAGTGAAAATTCTATTGAGTTTGAGTGGTGGAAAAACAAAATGCATACTCACGTCATAGGCCTTGGTGATGAGTTATGGGTTATTTTTTAAGATGAAATTGATTTTGTAGTTGATAGAGTAGGCATGGTAGATGATAGAAAAAGCTTCACACCTGCCATATATATATATATATATATATATATATATATATATATATATATATATATATATATATATATATATATATATATATATATATATATATATATATATATATATATATATATATATATATATATATATATATATATATATATATATATATATATATAAAGCATCACAAAGTTAGAGGAATCTTGATATATGCTCTACCTCATTCTGAGTATCTCAAGATTCTTGACAAATCTACTGCCAAGACTATCTTTAAATATTTTTGTGCTACCTATGAAAGGAATCAACAAGTTAAAGAGGCTAAGGTAACCCTTTTTGTTCAACAGTATGAGCTATTCAAAATGAAGGAGGATGAAGATATTGAAACCATGTTCTCAGGGTTTCAAGTTCTTCTATCTGGTCTTCAAGTGTTGTACAAAAGTTATACTACTATTGATCAAGCCAAGAAGATTCTTAGGATTATTCCTGTCAAGTATAGACCTAAGGTGACTGCTATACAAGAAGCTAGAGACTTAAAAAACATAAATCTAGAAATCTTAATAAGCAATCTCCAAAGTCATGAGATGAAGCTGATTGGAGATGAACCTGTCAAGAAGTCAAAGTCTCTTGCTTTAAAGCGTGTTGACCATCATGTTAAATATTTACTAATGAGGAAATCTGAAGAACCTACTCATGAAGAAGGTTCTGAAGAAGAATCAGAAGATGAAGAAATGGCATTCATTATCAAGAAATTTCAATATCTGGCTAATAAGAAGAATATGAGATTCTCAGGCAGAGGCAATGGCTTTAGAGGGACAAGCTTCAGAATCAACAAAGATGATCAGAAATGATGTTTCGATTGCAAGAAGCCTGGTCATTTTATTGTTCAATATCCAGGGTTGTAGAAGGACCCACCAAAGAAAGGAAGCTTTCAGAAGAACAACTTCAAAAACAAGGTCAAGAAAAGTCTCATGGCTACATGGGATGAACTTGACAAAGAAGAAGAATCCGACAAAGATGAAGAAGAAGCCAATATGGCTCTGATGGCTTCAACATATTCAGACTCTGGCTCAAATTCTGAAGAGGAAAATGAGGTATTTTCTCAACTATCTTGTTCAGATTAAATTTCTTTCATTCAAAACCTTATGGGTCATTGTCAAGATAAAGCCAGACATATGAAAAGATTAAAAGGGAGTATGATCTCATGAAAGGTGAATTAGAATCTTTCAAAATGAAGATTGAAAAATTAGAAAGTTATCATATTTCCTTAATAAATGATATGTCTGATAAACCCCTTAGTGCTTATGAAATGGCTCTTCAGAAGTTTTTCATTTTTGGCTTTAACATGACTAAATTCTTCTATGATATATGGTATAAGTAGAAAAAAATGGGAAGGTCTTGGCTGATCCGAATAGTCTGTTGATCTAGAATCTGAAACTTGGATAAAATCTTCAGAACCCCTCTCTCCTAGTTCTACTCAGAAAGGACTTCCTTCTTGCTTTGTATCTGTTGATAACAAAGTAGAGGTTCTGAATCACTCAGAACTAAAGATTTTAGAATCAGAAGTTCTGGAGAAATCAGAACCAGAGACCTTAAAGTCTTAGGTTCTAGAGAAACCAGAGCCCGTGATTCTAAAGTCCAAGGTTCTGAAGGGTTCAGAATGAAAGGTTAAAAACTATTCAAGGCCTAAAAGTTTTAAACCAAAAGTATTGAATGATTCCAACCCTTACTACATGAAGTCTAAGGTACAAGGTCTAAGAGACCTTTCAGAACTAAGCCCAAAGGAAACATCAGATTATGGATACCTAAATCTGAAATTATTTTTGTTGCATATATGCTTAAATGGAGGAGAAAAACATCAGTCTTGGTACATGGACAGTGGCTTCTCACGACATATGACAGGAGAAAAACATATTATTCCAAACCCTCACTCTGAAAGAGGAAGGAAATGTGGGACTTGGAGGAAACCATAAAGGCGATATCATTGGTATGGTACTATTGGTAACTCCTCTATCTCTATTAACAATCTTTGGATTACATATAGAATTGGGTTAAAATTTCTTAGAGCCAAGGATGAGTCATATGATGTGTTCAACATATTTTGAATACAAGTACAAAATGAAAATGATTAAAAAATATTGAAGATTACAAGTGATCATGGAGGAGAATTTGAAAATGAGCCATTTGAAACTTTTTTTGAAAAAACTTGGAATTCTCCATGAGTTCTCTTCTCCTAAAACTTTATAGCAAAATGGAGTTGTATAGAGGAACAAAGGATATTTACAAGAAATGGCTAGAACCATGATCCCTGAATACAACTTACCAAAGTACTTGTGGGCAGAAGTTGTCAACACAACATGTTATGTTCAGAATAAAATCTATATTAGACCTATTCTGAACAAAATATCATATGAGCTTTTCAAAATAAGAAAGCCAAACATCTCTTAGTTTATCAGTTTGGATGTACATGTTACATTCTAAACAATAAAGTCTATCAAAATAAATTTGACTCCAGGTCTTAGAAGGGTATCGTCTTAGGATACTCTGAACACTCAAAGGCATATAAAGTGTATAACTCTGATACCATAATGTTGTACCCCAAAA